ACCAGCTTCACTACTGTCGTACAGATAAACACAACATTCTTTACAAGACACACAGGAAACGCCTGGGTAGGTACAGTAAGTACATGACATTGTATTCCTTTTCATGAGCCTGCCAGCTACCTGCATACCTCTGCCCAGGGTAATTGTGCTGTCATGAAGCGTTCTCCTTGGTAAAAGTAAAGTCCACACGTTCGCGCTACCACCTGCCATATAGTTGTGTTGCGGAACACAACCAGCTTAGGAAGTTCCGCTTGTGTCGGGCCACCACCTTGGTAGCAGTTGTATTGATTATTTTATTTGGAGATGCCCAACAGGCCTAATGCCATGTTGCAGGGTGTCCTTGGGATCCATATACAGCTCTCTACCCTCACTTGGAAACAAAGTGATTATGAGCGCTCAGTACCACACATTCAAGGAATCACTTATCGCCTACAGCAATACCAGGAGACATGGGAAATGGCCTACGACTCGGCATGAGCTATCATAATAATTATTACTTTGAAATAGCCTTAGGAAATCGCTCCCCCGAGGCTGGTCAGCACAGCAGGGACGTCAGCGGGCACGTAGCCCGCATGGGGCACGTGCACCACCTACAAATTTGGACCCAGGATCAGCATGCACATAATGACCATGAATGACATGCACAAGCCATCCTACACATATGCGGCCTTGCACACCCCCCCCCAAAAGGGGGAGATCAGCTACGTCCCTGCGGCAGGCAGATCATTATACGAATATAATGAACCTTGAAAAAGGCTTTCGTGAAGCGAGACCACACTAGTACTGTCTAACTCAAGGATCAACCTAGCACACCAGCACACATTTCTACGGCAAGCACAGGCCAACATGCGCATCCCCTATCTCGCACCACGTCTTACCGGAAAATCCAAACAAACCCAGTGCACGTATACACCGGTAGAGATACCAACCTGTGCAGAAAACGCCAGAAAGCAGCAGACCAAAGGAAAGCCACAGCATCAGCAGACCAAAGGAAAGCCACAGCATCAGCCCACCAAAGGAAAGCTACAGCATCAGCCCACCAAAGGAAAGCTACAGCATCAGCCCACCAAAGGAAAGCTACAGCATCAGCCCACCAACGGAAAGCTACAGCATCAGCAGACCAAAGGAAAGCCACAGCATCAGCAGACCAAAGGAAAGCTACAGCGTCAGCAGACCAAAGGAAAGCTACAGCATCAGCATGGTGTGCATGGTGTGTTTGAACACAACTTACGCTTGGTGTCGTGTGGTTCGTCCAAGGCCACAGTCAGCACTATGCCCACCACCATAACTACGAAAGCCACAAGGTTGCTCACTTCACCTTTCCCGACATATTCCGATAGACTTCTTTTGGTATGCTGGAAACACACACACACACACACACACACACACACGCACACGCACACACTTGCTCACTGCCAGAAATTGGTCACGCGGCAGCAGAAGACCTGCATTACAGCAGTGGGGGTGAATGAAGACCCACACTACAAGAGTCAGAAGTGTAAAGCGTAACTGTAGCTATTCGATAACATTTATCACAAATTACAATATACAACCACCTCAAGATGCGCTTTGACCGCAGTGCGAGGTTGCAATATACAAGAATGTATTCACTGACCATGCACTTCACAATGCGCAGTTTGTATATCGAAATGGCTAGTGTATCCGGTGAGTATGATACCAGCAATTTTGACCCTGACAATCCTCTTCACAGCCAGACAAGAAAGCGATGAGCAATTTTGTAGAGATAAACTGGGAGGCAGGCTCATGACTGAAGTTGTGGACTGGCTCCAAGATGCACAGCTACGATGGTGAGGCGACTGGAGAGTGGGCAAAGCACGCCGTTAACGTGAAGGATCACCGCTGACGATTATTACAGATGGTGCTCGCTGTAGAGGATTTCCACAGTCCATGACATGATCATGATGCGATGCCACCTGTACCAAATCTACATGAAGACCACTAGCAAGTCGTGTGTGGTGCTGTTTGACAGCAGGTACATGTGCTACATCATGCCTGGCAGTACATCCGGTCTAGCCCACCGACGCCATCGAAGTCCACATACCGGTAGTCAGTTCTCTCTCTCTCTCTCTCCCTCCCTCCCTCCCTCCCTCCCTCTCTCTCTCTCTCTCTCTCTCTCTCTCTCTCTCTCTCTCTCTCTCTCCCGCCCCTTTCTCTCCCTCTCGCTTATTACTTACATGCGCCTCTGAGGCTGAGTCGTCAATGAGGTGATCATCGGTATCAGTGTCGAACGAGCTAGACAGCAGCGGGTCGGTGTACAGTGACTCGCTCTCGGCGATTTCCTGCACACCGCTGAGAGATTCTTCACGCTCAAACGACCCAGTGTCGCCTACTGGTTCCTGCAGCTCCGCAGTGCTGCCTGGTATTGGTACCATGGTAAGGGACTCCACTGCAACAACAACATTGCATGTACACAGCGACACGCGATCACGACACAGCACAGGATATGAGTGATATGAGGTCGCTGAGGTTACCAGTGTACCCGAGCCTGCCAAGTCCATTGTAGTTCTCCCTCGGTCTCACCAACACACTCCTACTTAGTAGTGGCAGAATGTAGTAGTTTGCCATGTCCCTTTCGCTCTTCCTCGCCGGTTCCCCAAATGAAAAACAGAGAAACAAGTTCATTCGGATGTCGTACGCTGTTTTAAAGCCCTCAGGCCTCCTAACTTGGCCGAGCCCAACGAGCGACAGCCAAACTCACTGGAAAGTAGCTGCAACAGATCCTAGCACGGCTGCGGCCATTGAACGGGCTCTGGCCAAGCTGGCACTTAGACATGGAAGCCTTCATCCTACACGTGGGATAAGTTGAGCTCGTGTATAGGAATTCACTCATACCGCACGTCCAGATGCCGGCTCGAGACGAAGCGCATTACAGGTGGAATGCAGCTTGGCTACAGACATCTACACGATACCCATCCTGAGGGAAAAGTGCATACTATTACTACACCCCACATCAAGTAAAAGTAAACGCATTACCACACTCACATCTCCTTTACCTGGACCTCAAAGTCACAAGCACCTCGGTCTACCGGGCACCCTGTTCGTGAGTTTTACTGTAAATATTACTACTCTTAAAACTTAGAAAAAGGACACACTTCAGATTCTTGAACAACATCTTGAAAAGTTCATGAGTGCACTTTCAAGCCTTCTTGTTATGTAATACAGGTATAAAGAGCAAAAGAACAAGGACAATGGATTAAGTACAGTAGAGAGGTGGTAAAACATCGCAAAGAAGAATAGCCAAAACAACGACGAAAGTGTGTGACCCATACGCATAGAAAGAATGAGAAAAAAGTGCAAGTGTGAGAAAACCTAACAAGCGTGAAATGCACTAGTAGTGCGACTACAATTGACAACCAATGGACAGAACTACTGTCAAAGTGAGAAACTTTTGCTAGAGATTAAATTTTGCTATTTTCGCAGCCATCACACATTTGCGAATAATAAATCGCTGCAAACCTCTCTGTACATTGATTGTAGACAGTACAAGATCTGACTGAAGAGATAGAATCGCAAGCGTTTCTCATCGTGACCCAGCCGAATTTATGAACGCTAAAACGTTCAACTGAGTGCATAGCACGACATTCAGGATGCTCCAACGAATGACTAGCAATGGAACCCTCATACTTATCAGACCTAACGTCGTTGACTCTGCCAGTGCCTTAGACGCTACCAGCGCCGATCTCGTTATCCTTCTAAATTAAGTCGATTCCATTCCTGTCAATGCCAAGCTGATATGTTTCTTGTCCGGTTGTTTCTTTGGCGGTCTCGCAAGCCTGAGGTCTGTGGGTACTTCCGGTGATAACGCACTGTCGTAGTACGCATGGATAGCTGGTTGCAAGGTGACGTTGTTTGGTGTTGATGTCGCTGTGTTGGATCATCTTGTACCTGGATGATTCTTGTGGTGGGCATACCCTCCACGGTCACGTGCAATGTACGTGTTGCGGAATGAGATGTAGCGATGCGCGATGTCGGATGCGTGCGTCCAGATGTTGAGGAATCCGAAGCGTGTCCTTTTTCTAAGTTTTATAGACATTTTTTGTCTCCGAGGAAACTGATAACTACTCTTTCGCCATTTTTGTGGAAATAGTGACGTCATATGCTAGATCTCTCGCCCTTCCCCATCAAAACGAACGCGAATCAGAGTTACGGACATTTCCAAGTTATGGGCAGTTCCCGGTCCCGGACCGCCCGGATAAGAGAGGAGTGAGAGTACTTTGAAGTAGTGATTGACACAGATTTCCGCAGAGCACCTATCGGACTATGGGTGTTCAGGGCATGTATGAAATTGTGGACGAGCGGCAACTAGAAAGTTGAAAGCCAACCTATCATGGGCTCAAAATCCAGAGGTATACTTAAAAATTATAAGATTTCGAAAGAACTACAAAGTCATCAGACTGATATCGGCAGCAGTGACCTCTGTACACGCTGCAGCTGCCGGTCGATAACTTCTCAAGAGTGTTGCCCAAAAGAATGGGGAGCAGCTGAGATGCCAGTAGTGTGTTCTCATCAACTTCGATGCCGCTGGACCCAGGAACGTAACGTGACACCGCGATTTTCCAGGGGGACAGTACAATCAACGTTTGTGGAAACCGTAGTTCATTACATCATTGCAGTAATTGCTATTTCGCATGCTCGTTGTTTTCACTCCATATGTATAAATCCTTATCACTCCCTTAGTATTGGCTCCCAAAGATTTTTTGCTATACAAAGCAGTCAAATATTGTAAGGAAAAAAATGGAGGCGTATCCAATTTCGGAAAAAAAGTGTCAGCACCGACGCAATCCACAGTCAAGTAAAGCCAATTTAGTAACCGAACATTTTCGTTCCCTTCTCATCATGGGTAAGTACAGGGAATAATGGAAAATGTCAAAATACGGCAACTTGTAGAGCTAAAGCAAAAGCATAGATCGAGAACCTCACGCTATACGTGCGGAAAAAATAGTCATTTCTTCACCTTCACCCTGATTTTGACCTGTTCAGCTGAATTTTATTTTTTCCACACGTATAGCGTGAGGTTCTCGACCCATGCTTTTGCTTTAGCTCTATAAGTTGCTGTATTTTGACACTTTCCCATTATTCCCTGTACTTATGCATGATGAGAAGGAAACGATAACGTTCGGTTACATAATTGGCTTTACTTGACTGTGTGGATTGCGTCGGTGCTGACACTTTTTTGGAAAGTCAAATACTCCTGCATATTTCACTCCTGAGGGCTATACCGTAAAAGCCCGTGTATAGGCCCCGGGCGTATAGAATAGCAGCCTCGATTTCCTGGGCGCATACAAAGGCGCGGGCGTTATTTTGGAACCAGGCGTATACTTGGAATACCAATTATGTAACCGAACGTAAGTACATGTACTGTACAAGCAGAAAAATTCGTCTGGAATTTAATTTCATCTTTTTCGTCCAAGGAGCTTTTGGACTAAATTAAATGTAGGACGAATATCGATTTGTCCAGCTTTTCTATACACTCTTATGATCCATGGACGAAATTTTCAACCGGACGAACTCCTTTTCTTTGGAGTTGGACGAAGTTATTGACCGACGAAATTGTCTGCCTCTACAGTATTGGGTATCAGTACCTGTACATGTACTGGTGTTTCCGGCATACCTGGGCGTATACATGGGCATGGGCGCTATTTCGAAACAAGTGTTGACTTCCCCTGACTGGGCGTGTACACGGAGGGTGGGCGTATTTTCGAGTGGGCGTATACAGGGGCTTTTACGGTATTGACTACTTATATTTGACTCCTATTTTAGGGATTGAACACATGCTTTGGCTAGTCGTGATAAATCTAATATTGACTTCGTACTAGGTCAATAGGAAAGAAAACCTCGTAAAAGACCTCGGCTGCACCTCTGTCTCTTACCCGGCTTATATTTCCTATATTGACCTCGTACTCTGTCAATATTAGATACTTATCGTTGGCTTTCCATTTCCCTTTTATAGTCATAAGATTCCATAAATCGCTACAGGAAAACGTTCGGGGGACACCACTTTGGTTGCCATGTTAGTGATACGAGTGTGGACATGCTCCTTTTCCCACATAAATTGAGGAAACAATGTCTGAAATGGACTGCATTGATAATAGCTGTCCTGTATATGTAGGCAAAAATGTGGGCAAAAATTTCAAGAACTTCCAGTGCGTTACTACGGAAATTTTCAGGAAAAACTATTATCATGTACCCCTCTCGACCTCACCTCGAGAAATTTCCCCTGAAGCCATCAAGTCCTCCAACAGCTCCGCCAATAAACGGCCAGACCAAGAGGCTATTACTGTAATGTACCGGTATAATACCTTATATACATCGTTTCAAAATAATAATAAAAATGAATTTGCCGACCTTAGCTTACTGCTCATGCATACTACACGTATTAACAAGAGTATGGGGGCTTATATACTCTTGGTATTAGGATGAAGATCAATCTAGGTATCAGCGGTCGACGTGAAGTAAAACAGTAACAAAAGCAAGTCCTGCTGCAGCTTGTTTCTTGGAAGAAAGTCAAATTCTAATTATTTTTATAAAGGTCATGCAAATGCGCCTGACCCACCATGTGTACCGCGTACCCGGCCGGCCAAACGAGGTCACCATGGTCACCCCGGCCGCGTCCGGTCACGCGCATATATGCACGCATGCACGCCACGCGATTGGACGAGCGCGCAGCGCACGCGAGCTCGAAGATCAGAAAGCCGGACCTGGGAGTTGTTGCACGAGTACGAGGGCAGTACCGTATACCGCGGAATCAAGCCCGCAGTGCGGGGCCCCCGCAAGCGGCAAGGGCTGGATAGAAAATACGGTACATGTATCTGTATGGCAACAAGAATCCATTATGGACTCTTGATATAACCAAGAGTACATAACCCCCTACTCTTGATATAACTAATAAGGGCATTTAGCCATAACGTCGCGTGAACCAGGGATCCCTGAAATGATCATGCGCGCGATCAAGAGGGGTAACGGGTTATTGTACTCTTCCAGTTTCCATAAACGGCACAACATTGACACAGATGATTATTTTCGAACGCACGACATTTTCTTTTGGACAGTTAACACGTTCCTCAGGGTGTAGACTCCATACTACTACCAGTAGCCAGAAAACCTACAGCAAATTGTAGTGGCATCAACCTTCGGAAGAAAGAGCAAGCAAGAAGTTTATAATTATCACATCCCCGCCATGTACACTGTAGGTCTGTATGTATGTTCATTCAGACTTTATTTGAAGGATTCTCTGGCAAAAGTAAATGGATACTTCAATCAGGGGAGTTTCCTGGAAGGGTGGATGGTATGTACATTGTACACAACATCCATTCACAGAAAATCAGTGGATATACATGTACATGTAAAGCCGGCATGTACAAACATGTAACTCACGAAACACCCAGGTTGCGGTTGGTGGACATTTGTTTGGCCGAAGCTTACAACAAAGAGTAAAATAGAAAAATAAGAAACACCACTCTAAAAGATGAGCAGAACATATGTGGAAAACGACCAGCGAAGACCATTCAACTGAAGAATCGGAGAGAGAACTAAACGAAAGCTGAAAGCAATGAGACTAGATAACTACTGAAGTACTCGCATATGATCATGAACAACAGGAGCAACCGAGAGGAATAAAATCAACTAGGAATAAGGATAATAAAGGTAGAATATAACATGACCTGGTGCAAACAAACTTTCCATACAATCTAAAATGAAACGGCAAAAGGGCATTCGAAGGAGGAATGGAGAGTAAAGACATTTTCCCTAATCAGTTTAGTGGTAACATATTCATTGGGTGCATTTTTTCGTGAGGATAGAAATATGGCAAAGCAGTAGGACTACCGAAAAATGTCTCAACACCGCACTGCATGCAAGATATAACAAGGTTGGTTTTTCCTGACATGTGAGGTAGAGGTAAAAACGGGACCAAAAAATTGACTGGGTGATATCCACGCATGCATATGTACATGCATGCTTCCATCACTCGCTTGCTCGCTCTCTCATCACACACACGCACACGCGCACGCACACACACACACACACACACACACACACACACACACACACTCACTCTCTCATAGATTAGGATACATAAACATAAGGGGTCGCATCAACACGAGGCAGAGTAGGATGAATAAAATTGAAATACAAGGCATGCACACCTAGGGACATAGGTGCCCGAAGAACACATAAACAGCATTGCTGTACAGCTTTGAAAATTCTCTATAAAACAGCTTCAACTTGTTGCATTACCTCAACTCCAACTATGCTGCCGGACATCGGCCACCGATGATGGGGCTTCGGGCAACCTCCAAGCGGTTACAAATCTGCTTTGCAGAGCAGCCCTGTACTGGTCGCACCGGACGAAATGATGGGAAGGAAATCTGGAATGGTTGCTCTAGCGCACTGGCCTGATTCAGGATGATGTGCAACACCCGCCGGCGGTCGGCAACAGCCAAGCAGTCCGAAGACAGCTCCACCACTCGGAACAAGGACCATAGGAATGCCGATGCCAGGCAAGCCGTGTCGAAATGGGAACGCACCTGGCGAAAATGAGTCTCCAGGTACTTGGTGATCTGGATCTCTACTAACGCTGGTGTGGCAAAGTCGATGAAGAAGCGGCTGCACATATACCGCTCCATTCGCCGGAGGTCGGTGTACGCTGGCCGATAGCCTAGCACAAGCAATTTACAGTACTTCAGCAGGCCACCGCCACGAATGCTCTCCGGATTGCGGGTTGCTATCCACCGTTCATTTACATGGCGCAGGGCTTCCTTAACATCACCCCACATTGTTTCAACATTGACTGTGGGAAAGAGATGGGGGCTGTTGGACGGTGAGACTTTCTTCAGCGCCAGGTACGAGTCGATGATAACTTGAAACGAATCAACTGAGTACTCGTAGGGTCGGTGGCACCGATCCACGAACTTCAGCTCAAGGTCAAGTCCTCTGATGTTGTGGAAACTGATTAGGCACCAGTGATCCGATGAACTCCATACGCGAGCCAATTTCCGAACATAGGCTTCCTGCAGCTTGTAGGGGTTGGGGGTGTCCGCTCCGCCATGGCCAGGAACAATCGTTCCCGAGTTTTTTACGGCGTCCAGAAAGCCGAACAGAGCGGCATGGAGAATGGAATCGAAGCTCTGTTCAGCTGGAATATCTACCCGAAATATGAGGTCAATATCGTTGTATTTTCGTTCCGTACTGAACGTCGTACTCACATCGTTGTCCACTACCCATGTCGCCGCACTGCCGTTCAAGCGGACGTCGTGGAGGAAGACGTCGTTTTGTTTCAAAATACGTTCCTCCACAGCTCGAACAAGATCCACTGGCTTGACAGAGACGGACGGGTGGTCTTCTCGGGAGCTGTGGATTAGAACTGGCTCTTCAAGCACCTGTCCTAACTTACTTACTTTTTCGAAGTCTAAAGTGAATTGGGAGTCTGAAGAGAGCGGACTGTTCATAATTCAAGAGTAAAGCACAACAGAGAAGCAGTTGGAGGAAAGAAGAAAGCAGGGTTTACAGCCGCACTAGGACCTGACCAACTTTCTTCTTCAGTTCAGCTCTTCGTCAAGAAAGTGTCGCTCACCGGACAACAGAACTGTCTCAAAACAATACTGAACTGTTGTGACTCGAATGTGAGTGTTGAGCTTGTCCTTTCGCTGTCGCAGGCATGGCATGTCACGGCGCGTTGGATGCGAGCCAGTTCATGAACTATGAAGCCTGCCAAATAAAAGCCCCAGCCCAATGCAGTATTGATGCTAGGCACTGCATACGCTAGGTTATGCATGCATATGCAGTACCTTCAGTATTCCTTATCGGAAGGATGGCGTTGCGAACTCTGCTCGATGCATCTCGCACACTCGCGAACGACGCACAACTGCAGCAAGGGTCGCGGAGCTTGTACCCAAAAGTGTAGGCTGTGATGCCAGCGCTGGCAGCAGTACTAGTAGGCTGTGATGCCCATACTGACAGATACATGTACGTACAGAGCAGCACAGGCTGCGGGCGTTTTGTGATGGGCCCATTTACAAACGTCAAAATCTCCGTCGCTGATTGGCGGAAGGGTGAATTCGAACAGCTGAGAGCAGGAATATTTCCTTGACGCATGATTATGACTCTGATGACAGGATCGCGAAGAGCAACGGATCGTCGACGTCGTCGGTGCAGTGCAGTACAGTGGTAATGTACACTGCACTGGTACTGGTAGGCTGGCATGGTAGTGGTAGCCTGGTAAGTACACTTTTGACTCTACTGCCAGTACTGGTACTGTAGTCTGACTGTAGATCTACTTCAGTACTTGGTAGAAGATAGAACTCACTGACTGTGATCATGGTGATGATTGATGGTCATGACTTCAGACAATCAGAGTTCAGTCTGTCCAACCGTTCTGAAAGTGACAATCATTACCGACCGGTTTGTACTGCCTCGACCATTATCTTGTTACATGATGTCATGTACATGACATTGTACTAGTAATGTGGACTGGCACTAGTATATTTTTAGTGAGTAGTGTCGTTTTGCGTGTGCAGGGCTAAGGCCCAGTACAGATCTTGTTTTTGCTCTGGCCTGTGATTCGTGAATCATTGCCTCAGATTAGCCAAGCAGCAAAGACAAAGACGAAGTCTAAAAGAAGTGAGCACTGCATGCATGCAGTGCAGACTGAGACGACACACGTCACACAGCTTGCGCCTACATGTACCCTAGACCTAGTGCTAGTACTAGTACATGTAGTAGTAGTATACCATGGTAGTAGTATACCATGGTAGTAGTAGCAGTAGTGGACTGCACTACTGTTACTAGTACTAGTAGTAGTAGTATGTAAAATGTACTACTACTACTACTAGTACATGTAATGAGTCACTAGGCTACACTGTCACACATTGGCTGGTAGGTCTATTGCCAGTATTGGTACGATGAGTACAGGCGGGGCCGGGGGAGAGAGTTCTTGCCTCGTTCTTTTTCGCCTACACAAGCGAATAGCGTTGTCAAACTCAAAGTAGTTGGGCCGGCTGCAGCAGCCGGGGCCTACCCAAATGCTGACATAGTTCAAAGGTGCACCGATTGCTGAAGTCATCGCCTGCTGGCTGAAAATGTCTTGTGCCAGTTGTGACGTTCTCGTGTCAGACAAATCGTAGATCCTCGACCAAGGAGCGCCTTCAGAATATGCTGGAGACATTTGAAAGAGAAATCCCCAGCCAGGGCGGGAGACTGCCACGAGTTAGAACCCCCCCATGCATGTATGGTGTTTCTGCCAGTGGCATTTGTCGGAGCAAGCAGAGGCTTCCAATTCGGTGGGAATCCTTGGCCGATTGTAGCCGCTGCTCTGCTGTAAAGAAGTCGCTAGCTCAGAGAGGAAGTATCGGTAACCAAAGTGTATTATAGTTCAGTTGCTGGACGGAATGAAAACTGCTGTGAATACTCATGCCAGCTAGCCGTGGACATTATTCTGATACCGCCACGCTGCGGCTGGGGACGGGGGTCAGGATCTTGCGGCAGTGCCGATAATACTTCAATAGTCATCATGGTCATGTAGATCATTCTGTAGATCTACATCACGACCTACCCTCGGCCTCAGCTCACTTGTTGTACAATCATAATCATGTAGTTCATGCTATGCATTCATAGTAGAATAGTACGAGTGCGTCTGCCGGTTTGGTACTTTTTTGGTGGTAGGTGGTCGTGTGACAGGAACTGGAACTTGGGGCAGGTTCTTCTCGATCTAGTAAGCTAGGGGATTCGAAGTGTGATACTCTGACTGTTCGTGTACATGATTGAGACAAGTCGTAAATGAAAGAGAAGTTTCCTCGACCTACTGAGTCTGTAACCCTTCTTTCCTTGTATCGAGAACGCTGTGTGGTTTGCATGCGATGGTGCAATGATCGCTAATCACAATCGCTCCGGTAGTAGAATCTACTAGTATTGGCAGTGCGTAGATCTATCCAGGACACACGGTCTACCATGCACACCGGCGCGGGTACGGGTTGATCATGGGCCCGAGGCAGGCCAGGGCGAAGGAGAACATCGTTCGCCTCGTAGTTTTGCCCTACAATGTAAACGAAACTAACTTTTGGACATCCACCAATCACTGGTAAACCATTGTAACGACAGTTACGTAACGACTTACGTAAGTGGTCATGTACATAATTTTTTTTTTTTTTAAAGTATGACAATAGATCTACTAGTACTAGTACTAGTAGTTGCTAGTGTAGCTGCGTAGATATGAACCGCGGGCCGGCAGCTGTTTGCTCGTCAGCGAGAAAATAATGCAAGTCCATCATTTATAATACGCGTATAGCATACAGTCGACTCGTACTAATATGTTATAATTGTATTGACCTTTGATAAATACCCACACTCATTAGTGACCACACCATCAACAGTATCGAATTCAAATAAATTTGCTTGACTCAATAAATACCACTGTACTTTTCCATGCAGCACTGCACTTTTCCCTGAAAAGGAGTATTATTTTTATAAACATTATTTATTGGCCTAGTGGTATTTTAAAACAATATTTATTGGCTTTTGGGCAAATAAATACTGTTTATAAAATACCACAAAGGCCAATGAATACTGTTTATAAAATACTCCTTTTTAGGGAAAGTGAAGGTCAACATTATGTATAATAAATGGGACCTCGGTTTTTATACTGGTATGTAAAATTTGATAATAATAATAATAATAATTGCAATAAATCCTTCGGCTCTACATTTATTATATACATATCGACCTTCATTTCTTTCGAAATAGCGAAAGAAATAATCAGCCCATGTACCAGATGTACAATCGTGTACATGTAGTCATGTACATGTACGTGTGCAGCTTTTCAGCAGCCTCTGGCTACAACAACGTTGTAGGCGTGGAAGGTCGGTGTCACCAAGAGTGCTCTTCCTCAAGTAATAATTTATTAGTTAGTTCCTGGCATTCATAATCATGTACATGTACATGTGTATAGTATTCACGCAGCTATTTAGCTACAGTACTAACAATACGAACTAATATACTAGTAGTAACAAGCAAGCAGATGTAGATAGTAGATACAGTACTGGCGCGGTATGTGACTCAAGCTGGTTTGACTCCAGATCCTACTTTAAACTAATACTTACACGTCCACAAGGACATTGGCACTAGTCGAGTGCAGTGCATTTTACCCACACCTCCCCCCCCCCCCCCCGGTGTGGGGGCAGGGCGGATTTGTTTGGTCCAACTGAAGAAGCCCAGCACAGTAGTGCTGTGTGTACGTGTGCGGCCTGTGAAGGCTGTATCAACAGCATCCACGGTAATACTAGTACAGCGCAGTTTCTTGACTTTTACTTCATGCTGCGGATTTCTTCAATACATCGGGATGATCCTGCAGGGCCTTATCAGTTTTCAAGGCACGATCATAAAAAAAACACCCCACGACACTTCATAGTGCAAGTTTGGACAATACCCATTCTTAAAAATAAAATAAAAAATTCACGGTTCGCGTGAGACTCGGCCCAAGGCCCAGTTTTCCGCATCCGCAGGAACGCCACCACCCTCTTGGATAAAGCGCAGATGCAGCTCCTAATTCTTACCATGATAATAATTATGTTAGTTTATACATACAATGACTCAATGTGTAGCAAGCATGGCACTATACTACATTATAGTCCTGGCTACTTTCATCATTTCTACAGTAAAATTAGTCTTCAGTCAGCCAGTCATCTGTAAGAAGGCCTTAGGCCTGTGGGGATTGCCCTATCAAAAATGTAATAAATAATAATCTGTCCCCTTGGAAAAACGCGATTCCGCGGCCGCGGCAAATTTCGCAGAAATATTTTTTTAGGATAAATTAGTAAAATTACTACTCAGAAAGCAGCAGAAAAACTACTTTCCAATCTGTTTGACCTCATTCAGTTTGTGACTGCAAACGATAGTGTGAAAAGTACTCCTTCATGCAAGGAGGGTGAAAAACTTGCAGAAAGTGCCGCAGATTTTTAATTAAAATGCCGCAAAAAAAAACCCTTTTCCCCGCGGAATTTGCCGCGGAATATTGAATTATTGGCCGCGACAGGCATGCCTGCATTGGCACAATCATATTGTGTACAGCATGTGCATGCGTCGGGTCAACACCGTATTTCGACATACGGATATACGCTGAAGTAGCTTCACAGGTAGATATTCGCAGGGGGGGGGGGGGGGGGGGGATGAGCGGTACGTTATGGTGTGTGGCGTGCACAAGCGCATGACAGTGTAACCTTGACTATGCAATAGAATATAGACCCTCAAGCGATCACCTGTAACCACAGGTAGCAAATAATTCCAATGCTGCATGTTGCATCAGGCGGTTATCTTGTTCATTTCACTTAGGCAAAAAGCATTTTTGGTGATGGGTAGGTAAACTATAGCGAAGTGACAGGACCGCAGTTTCTGATGACCGGCTGGAGAGTGATCCAGAGGAGTCAATTTCAAATTAGGAATAATATACTTGTAGAATCCATGCCAACGCTCAAGTGTCTTGAAGCAGCAATGCATGTTTGGGCGCCCTACCCGCAGTAAAAATAGAATGCAGTTACACACTGGTATGCACAGCATTATCAGCCAGTCATCGTCATCATCAGCTGGAGTAACAGCAGCAGCAGCAATCCTGTGCCTTGTCACATTATGCAGAACGGGGAAAGCCAAGCGGCACAGCTGGCCCAGAGCATCTGCTTAGAGCAATATCTGTGCCGGTCTTGCATCAAGGTAGCAAACTAAGAATCAGTAAGAAGAGATAAATAAAACTCCTCAACAGTAGGCGTCGTATGGCTGGTGACCAGTGGGATGATTGCTTCACAGCACCACCGGAATGAATTTGTTCACTGCCATTCTGTAAGGCGATTCCCACTTGCTTCAGATTTCCGGCGGGGGAGTCAGGATGCCCCCACCCTCAGGAAACATCTGCTTCTCAAGGTCAACACCATGCAGGCAGATTGTATGTTTAAAAAAAATCTGGAAGCACATTGCATTCAATACAGAGTGCGAAACCGT